TTTTCAAGTGTTGAGCCAGCCTTGCTGGCCTGGGGTACATTCCATCTGGTCATGGTGTGTATTCTTTTTATGTATCGAATATGATTTGCTATTGGTTTGTTGTTGGTTTTTTTCTGGTACCGGGAATCTACATCCCTGGCTCTGCCAATGTTTTTTTGAGAATTTTTATGCCTAAATCCATGAGAGAGATTGATCTATAGTTTCTGAGTTTTGGTATTATTTTCATTAGTTTTGGTGTCAGGATATTAACTTGCCTCTTATATTTTCTGTTGGTTTTGGTTTTGGTTTTTTGAGACGGAGTCTTGCTTTGTAGCCCAGGCTGGCCTTGAACTCACCATGTAGCCCAGGCTGGCCTCCAACTCACAGTGATCCTCCTGCCTCAGCCTCCCAAGTGATGAGATTACAGGTGTGCACCACCACACCTATTCTCTCATATTTCCTGTAAAAGCTTATAACATTTTTTGAAACTTCAACAATCTTTTATTACCTAACATGTACAGGATTACCTTTTAAATCCATCTAACAACAAACAGCATTTCCATCCCATCCAAGACACAGTTGTGGACCCAGTAAAGACTGTCCCTTAAACCAGACCTGGTGGCACACTCCTGTAATCCCAGCACTCAGGAGACGGAGGCAAGAGGATCACCGTGAGTTTGAAGCCAGCCCAAAATACACAGTGAGACCCTGTTTCAAAACACCAAAAAATAAAAAAAAATAATAAAACTATCTCTTAAAAAAAGGAATTGAAAAATATATGTATTTTATTTAAAAAGTTAAATTCACCAGTGTTGCAGAAAGAGTGCCCAAGCGATTTCAGTCCATTAAAACAGCAAAACAAAACCAACACTTGGCAGCCTGTGCTGCCTTCAACCCCGCTCCCTGCTCTGAACCGCACTGGGAGAAAAACGTGAAAGCCCTCACTGAAAACAAAGCTTCGGGGCTCCTCCCCACCGCAGCCTCCAGGAAGCACCAAAGACCAGGGTAAAGACCAGCTGCTCTTGGGCGTTCAGCCTGCTGGGCTGTCGGCTCCAGCCAGGCCTGATCCTCACGGGAATACTTCCCTCCACTGCACTCAGGAAACTGATCTAGTTTCAGGGCCAGATTTCCAGAAACTGGCAAAACATCCTCAAGATTCCTCCAGGGAAGGGCCAGGGCTCTTTGAAAGATGGAGGGGGAAGTTCTAAGCCAAAACTGCAAAACAGTTTGTAACCTATGACGTCTTACTCAACAGGTAAAAACAAGTAGCAGCAGCTGGACATAGTTGTGCAAGCCCATAATCTCAGCCCTCAGAGGATCACTGTGAGTTCGAGGCCAGCCTGGACCATATAGTGAGTTTAAGGCCAGCCTGAGCTACTGAGACCCTGTCTCAAAAAAAAAAAAAAAAGCAAAAACGTGCTTATCTCCTCCTTTAACCACAGAGTAAAGGAGGTGAAGGGAACCCAGAGAGAAGTTAGCTTCAGCCTTCTGGGGGAAGTGTGTACACTTCGTACCAAGCCTCCTTTGCCTCGGATGGGGCCCTCATCTTATCTTGACCAGAGGGTTCAATGCACAGAAGCAGTCAGCCTAGTTCTTGGTTGCTTAACGGTCGCTTTCTCCCCTTAGGCAGGGTGCTTGACAAACTCGAAACTTGTAGGAACTCCAAAATTGAGGGGTCCTCCACAGCAGCCCCTTACAGACAGCTGGAGACACGCTGCCCTGCCAGCAGCTCCTTCCCATTGGCGGGCTCCTTGCGAGCTCTCTGCAGCAGCAGACTGGCTTTAGAGAAATGTCCACAGCCCAGGATCTCTACACAGCCATGGGGCGGGAGGAGAGGTCTCCGGACTGGCGCTTCCTGTGGGTGTCTCGCCCTGCTGAGCAGGGAGCCGAGAGCAAGAAGATGGGGCCTTGGGCTGGGGATTTAGCTCAGGGGTTCTGCTGCCTACCTTGCAAGAGGAAGGACCAGAGTTCGATCCCTGGTACCAAAAAAAAAAAAAGAAGACAAAGACGGGGCCTCGAGTTCTGCCTGAGCCGGGACTCAAGCGCGTGGGAGCTGCTGCCCACCTTCTCCTTAGTGGGCTGGACAGTGAAGACCACGTTGGGCAGGGAGACATCTTGTTTGGTCCCCCAGATAAATTTCTACAGCCAGGATGAACAAAGCCATCCACATCTGTCAGCAGCTCTTTATAGATGTTTTCTACCCTCAGAAGGGCCAAACAGGTCTTTGGATGCTAAAGCAGGGCCTGAGAGCTCAACAGTCTGTGATAAGGAGCCTGTGCCAGGGTGACAGCCTTCACACCTCTTAAAATTGAGTTTCTGTTGGGCCGGGGATATAGCTCAGTGGCACCGCACCTGCCTCGAAAGTGCAAGGTCCTGAGCAATCCTCCTGCCTCAGCCTCCCAAATGCTGGGATGACAGGCATGTGCTACCATGCCCAGCAACCTTTTTTTTTGTACTGATGGAACTGGGGACCTTGCACTTAAGAGGCAGGCAGCAGCACCACTGAGCTAAATCCCTGGCCCTGGCAACCATTTTAAAGCACACAGTTCAGTAGTAGTGCTACATTCACATTGCTGTGCAACCCACTTCCAGAATACTTCATTTTGCAAAACTGAATTTCCTCACCCTTTAAACATGAAAGAGTCTTTTTTAGTTGATAAGATCAGCATATTTTCAGTGTGAGTTTGAGATGTATCTTAAAATACCGTAAGTTCTGCCAGGAGTGGCCACTGGGTGGAGAATGCTGAGGTCCCTGGGCAGCTCCCTGATGGATCCCATCCAAATCATCCACAATGGTATTCGATTTCTGTACCTTTTGTGCAATTTGAAAACTTCAATGAAAAGGAAGTTTTTTTGGGGGTGTGTGTGTGTGGTCCTGGGGATTGAACCCAGGGCCTTCACACTGAGCTATATCCCCTTTATTTTTTCACTTTGAGACAAGGTCTCTCTAAACTGTGAAGCTGCAATTCCAGGCTGGGCTGGAACTTGTAGTCTGCCTGACTCAGCCTCCCACAGTACTGGGATTACAGGCCTGCACCACCACACCCAGCTGATAAATTTTTTAAATTGTTCCCAGTTCATCAAAGGAAAGACTAAATCCAAATGCCTTTATTAGGTCTTGTCATGTTTCATATTGGTTTGGCCGCTGCTCTGGCAAGAACCACAAAGTACTAAAAAGCTGCCATCCCAAGTGGCTCCCTGGCCCTTCCTTAAAGTGGGCTTCGTGGCTCCCTGGCCCTTCCTTAAAGTGGGCTTCGCTGGCTTCTGCTCTGTCATTTCTCAGGTGCTGCTGTCCCCCACCACTCAGGCCTTAGCCCAGGTAGTGTTGCCTCCACCTGCACCCACCCCTCCGACCCCAATGTCCCACCCACCAGGGGACCTGGCCCCTCCTGGCTCACAGGGACTCTGCCTGCCCTGCCTGAGTACTCCCCACCCACCCTGCACTTCCCTGTGGCCAGGTCACCTCGGCCTAGTATGGTTTGCTCCTGGCCACGTGTCCCGCAGGGGCTCTGGCCAGGTTGCTCAGAACATGAGGTGCCAGAGGGGAGGCCCTGGCCTGGCTCTGCCACTCCAGATGCCGCCCTGGGAGGCTGAGGTGTGGGGCTGCCAGAGAAGGTCAGAGCGGAGGCCTTGGCGTAACTGGGAAACAGGCGCCCGGCTCAAACTCAGGACCCGCCCAACACAGTGCATTTCTCTCCTTCATTTGTGAGTGACCTCCCCTGCTAATGCCCCACTCCCAGGAGCCTCCAGGTGGGGTCAGGAATGGAAGGTGTTCATCCCATCAGGCCCTGGCTGGTTTTCCAGACTGGGGGGGATGGACTCAGCAGGCCTCTGTCCTGCAGGAGAGAAGGCATGTGCCCGGTCTTCCTCCTACTGGAAGGCTGGGAGCAGCAGACAGCTGGCCGGGTCTCTGCTGCTGGGTGGGGGCTAGGATTCCATTGCCCTGCTCTTTACCTGGTCCCTCTCCCACGTGCCACTTTCTTGGCATCTATGAGAGTGGTATTTTGGTTTTTCCTCATTGCTGGGATTTATGGTTGTCCTTAGAAGGAAGGAACAGAGACTGCCCCACGCCATCTCGGTCTAGACTCACAAAAGGGCATTCAGTTTCTGAAAAGTGGTGACGCTGACAGTAGGCAGCCATCAGAGCAGTTGGGTAAGAGCTCAGCTCAGGGAAGCGAAGGTCACAGGAGGAGACAATTCAGGGTGCTTGGGTGGGGAGTGTAAAGGGGAGGAGGAGGAAGACCCCACCGTGTGGTGGAAAGACTGATGGTGTGCTATCGCTGAGGGTCCAGTTTGGGGTGATCCTGGGTTTAGGGTTAGGGTAGAAGGCCTGCTGCCCGGGCCCGGGGGGAGCCAGGTGCACGTCCACCTGAGGGACGTGCTTCCTGAGCTTGCTTTCAGGTAGAACCTGAAGACACGGACGGGAGTCTCCCTCCCTGCCTGCCACGATGGCTACACTGATTCCTCACCCCAGCTCAGAGACTCGACAATGTGCCATTCATCCGCCTCCTGGTGCCTGGCACCAGGGAGAGGGGGCTGGTCCTGGCGGTGCACCGGCCTATGTGGAAGCAATAGTACATTTCAGCAAGGCAAGGGGCGGCTTCACTCTCCGAGGAGGAGTGGCAGAGCAGCTGCCAGGGATGGAAGAAGCACCTCCTTCCCATCTCCTTTCCCACCTAGAGAACTGGGAGGTGAAGGAATAAGGTGGGTGCAGATCCACGAGCTCCGAGGAGACCCAGGAACCCAGCTCAGCCCAGGAACTCATCTGAGGACACCTTCCCCGCTGAGCTCTCCGGGGCTCCATCCTTGGTTGCCAGGGAGATAGGAGGCGGTTGGCATGGAGACCGACGAGGGCAAGGGCCAGCCAATCACTCCGGAGCTGCGGCTCCGGCTCATCTTTGGATGGAAGCACGGGCCTGGGCTGTCCCCGTGCCCTCTGGCAGGCCGGTGAGGGGTGGGTGCGCCTCCCCCCCCCCCCCCGCTCAAACCCCGGTTCCGGCGTTGCCTCCGCCTCTTCCCAGCGAGGAGTGATGCCACCCTGGGAGGGGCCCAGCCTCGAAGGGCTCCAGCTCCAGCCCCTCCCTCGATAAAAGGAGGGTGGTACGGGAAGGCGGGGCACGCCGCAGGAGGACAGGACCCCCCCACCCCCCAACCGCTTCTCCGCAGTGCCTGCGCACGCTCACTCGGCCGCCGGCGGGCGGGGCCGTGACGTCACCACGCCCCCCCCCCCGGCCGAGGGGCGGCGGCCGAGGATTGACCGCGGAGCTGAGGGTCGAGGGACTGAGGCCCGAGGGACGGCGTCCAGGCCATGCCCGGGGAGGCTGCCCGCGCCGAGCTGCCGCTGCCCGAGGCGGGCGGAACCGGGCCGCGCACAGGTGAGGCCGCGCCGCCCCAGCCCTCCGTCCCCGCGCTGCCCGTCCTCTCCCCCCCAACCGTTGTCCCCTCCGCCCGCCGCTTAGGGAGCGCGGGAGGGGCGGCCCGAGGCGACGCGGACCTGCGCCCTCGGCCTCCGCCCCGGTCAGCGCCCCAGTGTGACGAGAGGACCCGGGGCCATGCGGGTCAGGCCAGCCCGCCCTGGTCCCCAGTCACCGCGGGATGCCGGGCCCAGGACGGAGAAGGGGGAGCTGGGCCCGGGCAACAGTGGCCCCTGCGCGGCCCTCGCGACCTCCAGGAGGCAGGGATGGGCCCATGGCTGGGGCCGCTCCCCTGGACAGTCCCTGCTGGAGACCATCCAGTGTGGCTGGGGTAGGGCCAAGGGCACCTTGCTGTGGGCCAGAAGTCACTTGGGGGTAGGACCACTGCTGGGCCAAGGGCCTGGACACGAGGGGACACAGCTGCCACCTCTGGGGGAGGGAAATGGGCAGCGCAGGCTGGGACTTCTGGCCCCGGAGCTGTGTGATGGCCCGGGGATCTCCGGGGAGGTACAGAACCTTTGGCCTCTCTTTCCCTCCCTTTAACCTTGGCCCAGTTCTGCCCCAGCCCTGGGGCCACACAGGGGTCATCAAGGTGCTAGGGGCCTGGGTTGTGGAGCTAGTGGTGCTCACCAGCCACGCCCACTCCCAGTGTCCTGCTGCCCCAGGGGACGGGGACCGGCCCAGGCAGCCCCAGCAGCCCAGCCTCCAAAGAGGAGCCCTGCTGGTGGCCCAGGGCCCTGTGCCTTGAGGCTGCTGGGGGCAGATTGGGCAACCTGGTGAGGCAGCCAGTTCTGTAGCTTCCCTCATCCCAGCCATCTTACTTGCTGAGCAGAAGAGAAAGCCCAGACGGGGCCGGCTGCCCTGTCAACAGCCAGGGAGGCAGGAGGCTTTGCAGCCTGCTCTGGGAGCAGGAGGAGGACCCAGAGATGAGCCTTTGGCCTCCGTCCAGGTGAGGCAGGGCTGTAATGGAGCATTAAAAATGCAGCCATGAGCACTCAGTGCACTCGGAAAAACACTTAGCAGATGATGGTCGGTGAGACCGCAAGATTCAAAAGTGAGTGCAGTGACCTCAGTGGAGATAAAATGCAGGTTGGCATGAGCCCAGGAGGCCGAGACCCCTGTGCCGTGATCACGTGGGGCCACCCAGAGGGGACTTCCTCTACCTGCCCAGGTCCCCTAAGTGCTCTCTGGCCCTCATTCCTTCAGGGTGGGTTGTGCAGTGGTTTGTTGGCCCATGGAGGCCGCCTGAGCACCTGGGGACCCAGAGAAGGGACCCGGACAGGAAGGAGCCCCCAGCACCCAGGGAGGCCTGGCGCTCACCATGGGGTGGCTGTCATTATGGAGAGGACCAGGCCACAGCGGCACCTGCCTCTCACCGCTGCCCTGCTTCATGGTCACCATCCGTGCCCACCACAACCTCCAGCCCAGACTGTGCAGAACACATCTGCCTCCACTGCCCAGAGACATGGTCACACGAAGTGCCCTCCTTACATCCCCCGGGCCACCACAGGGCACAGCAGGCCCGGGCACAAGGCTCTGGGGGGCCACCCACTCCTGCCAAGCCAGCTGCACCGTGCTGATGACGGGAAAGGAAACAGCAAGCTGTCTCCAGAAAGAGAAGTGCTGCTTGCATCTTTCCTGAAGCGTCCCCAAGAAAACCCTGTGTTTATAACAGCACCCCCCGGCCTCCTTTCCACAGAGCTGCTGTCAGCAGTTCTCAGCTCTGCGAAAGGCCTCGAAATTCTCCCCTCCCATGCCATGCCCTTCTTTGCTGCCTTCTCCACCCAGCTCTCCCAGGGCCCCTAAAGTAGACATGGGTCCCCTGCCCCATCCCCAGCTCACCTGGCCTTGCCTGGGGATGTGACCTCATGTCTTTCTCTGTCTTCACAGATCTGGCCTGTGATGCACCTGCTGCCACCATCCTGGGAGGGGACCGGCAGGAGCCCTGTGCCCTGACCCCAGGGCCCAGCCCCCTGGCCCTCACGTTCCTGCCCAGCAAGCCAGGTGCCCGGCCCCAGCCCGAGGGAGCCAGCTGGGATGCAGGACCTGGTGGGGCCCCCTCGGCCTGGGCAGACCCAGCAGAGGGGAGCCCCGGCCCCGCACTCCTCCCTGAGGACCCACACCCCCAGGCTCTGCCCACCGCCCTGGAGCCCCGGATTGTGATGGGCGAGGAGACATGCCAGGTGCTGCCATCACCCAGGGCAGCCCTGCCTGTGCTCAGGGAACAGGAGCCCCGCTCTCAGGATGACCCTCCTGTGCCTTCCCCATCCCCAGAAACTGACCCCTACTTCACCCCTCCCTCTACCCCCACCAAGGCCACCTACGGCCTGCTTCTTGGCCATGGGCTGCACAGGAATGCATGGCACCCTGAGGCTGAGCCGCTGGAGGAGCTACTGGACTCGCTGCCTTCCTCGCCCTCAGGCTCCTACGTTACAGCCGATGGGGACAGCCAGGCCTCATCACCCTCCTGTTCCCTCAGCCTGCTGGCCCCTGCCGAAAGGCTGGACTTCGCCTCAGCCTGGGGCCTCTCCCAGCCAGAGTCAGAGGCTGAGGGATGGGAGCAGCACCCTGCCAAGCCTCTGTCCTCCGAGTCCAGCCTGTCAGGGGACAGCGGGTCTTCCTGGAGCCAGGAGGGCCACTTCTTTGACTTGGACTTCCTGGCCAATGACCCAATGATCCCTGCATCCCTCCTGCCCTTTCAGGGGAGCCTCATCTTCCAAGTGGAGTCAATGGAGGTGATGCCGCTGTTCCCTGAGGAGGAGGAGGAAGAGGAGGTGTCACCTGACCCCCTGGGCCCAGATGGGGAAGCAGCCGGAGAGGACGAGGAGGACAGCACTTCGGCCTCCTTCCTGCAGTCACTGTCCGACCTGTCTATCACCGAGGGTATGGACGAGGCCTTTGCCTTCCGGGATGACACCTCGCCAGGCTCCTCAGACTCAGACTCAGCATCCTATGCAGGAGCTGACGACGACCAGCTGTACAGTGGGGAGCCCCATGCCCAGCCCAGCACGCTGCTGCAGGATGCTGGCCAGAAGGCGGAGCAGGAGTGTGCAGGGCGTGCTGCATTCTGGAATGCAGAAGCCAGGGGGACATCACCCACCCCTCAGGTCCTAGAAGAAGCCCCTCTCAGCCAGAGCCCGGAATCAGTCACAGGAATCTCGGAAGAGAGCCTTGCTTCCAACCAGGAGTCTGCGGCTGCTGTGACCCCTCACACTGGGCAGGCAGTCACTGGGGTGACCCCTCAGGTGGGAGCCAAAGAAGCTGACTCTGTGGCTGGAGGAACACCTGTCACCCGGGCGTCAGCTCAGCCCTCCCAGGACAGGAGGGGCACTGCCTTCAGCTGGCCGCCTGATGCTGCAGAGGCAAAGCCAGCTCTGCAGGAAGCAGCAGGCGCCACTGTGTCCCCAGACCCTCCTGAGCTCACGGAGGCCCAGGGGCACAGAGGCGGCCTAGGTACCCCCACAGCCCTGGAGTCTGTGGTTGTGGCCATGCTGGAGCCCCTGCAGGCTGGAGGTGGCATCCCATTACCCCAGAACTCTCCTGTGACAGACCTTCCTCCCCTGATGAATGAAGATCCCATCTCAGGCCTGGAGTCCGTGGCTGTGGCCATGGTGAGGCCTCTGCAGGTTGAAGGGGCCGTCCCATTGCCCCAGGACTTTCCTGAGCCTGCACTTCCACCCCTGCTGGATAAAAATCCCACCTCAGGCCCAGAGTGTGCGGCTGTAGCCATGCTAGAGTCTCAGGAGGCTGAAGGGGGCGTCCTGTTACCCCAGGACGTTCCCAAGCCTGCACTTCCACCCCTGCTGGATAAAGATCCCATCATAGGCCTAGAGTCTGTGGCTGCAGCCATTTT